GGAGGGGGGGAGGATGGGGAGGGGTTTCTGCTGCTTCTGGGTCCTTCATAGGCTGTGCGCCCTGCTATCGCACTCCGCAGCCCCATTAATTGCCATGCATCAAATGTGACAGGAAGCTTCCACAACTTTGAAACTGACTTAAGCTGGATTCGTAAAGCAAAGGGAGGCGCACCAAATCGATATAGCTCGTCGTACCCGAGAGAAAAGCGCTAACGGCAGTCCCCAATCATCCGTCGGCAGCGAAGAATCGAAGACGGAGTCGTCAGTAAGCGCTGGTAGCATGGCGTAGGCGTCCGGGATGAGTGACTGTGAAAGCGAAGAGTGTGATTGTGACGAGAGAGACGGTGGGTCGGATGCAACCTCCCCTCCTCCGCCAACCCGCGCCGACAACACAGAGGCCGTTTTGGTGACGTTAGACCAGAGATTAGTGGCACCCATGCGCAGCGCTGCGACACGAGTCAGACCAGCGCCACCGCTACTGTTGGAAGTCGACGATTGAGCTGGATGGGGAAATAAAAAAAGTAACGGAAATCTACTCTTTTATAACGCCTTAACCAACAGGGGCTACTTTCATGAGGCCTTGATCCGAATCTATCGGGAAGAAATGGGGGAGCGCACACCTTCAGGTCAATAATTGAGTGTGACAAATCGAGAGGTCATTGCAAACAAGTAATCTCCTTTTTGTGTGTAAAACGGGGCATTGAGTTTATTTGGAGGCAGAAAAAAAGTACGGTGCCAAATATTAACGTTTTCATCTCCTGTTTTTGCAGTGCAAAGAGCTGCCGCCTTGAGGGGCAAATTGCCCAACGTTTGAAGTGCCTTAATGCTTGTCGGCACTTTTCCGCTCTGGCAATTAGACATAACAAATATAGAATTGGAGGTTTGCAAATCGAGGCATTCCCTTAAAATAAAACTTAAATTTACGATCATCGTGAAAGCATGACGCACGCGATTGGTTAAAGTGTCATTAAAAAGGAATGAGTAGAAAATGGCGTCAGCTTCGGATTTCGGGTGGGAGTCTTTGCACATTGTGCATACATCTCTACTTTTCGTATAAGACCTCGATCAAGATATACCGGAAACGAATGAGTGGGTGACTCAATACAGGGTAGGGCTTGAAACGAATCACTTTATAACAAATTGAGGGGAACCGTAAGTGGAGGTAAACGTTGGGGTGAGCAAAAAATTAGAAGGGGTAATGGTTCACCACTATTTACACGTGGGGGCGTAGTCGTTCAACATTAAATCACCATTTAGACATACCACATTCAGCCGAAGTGAAGATAGGATCCTCTGCCTAAAAGGGTGTTTAAAGTAGAGTTAGAATAGGCAGTAAAGTTGGATAGTCTCTAAAATCAAAAAGGCTAAGCAATTCAAATTTGAGCAACATTTGATGGCGTTAACAAGAGGTTGTCAAATAATGCCATGGTGGCCACCCTCACATTGACTACACTGCCGAAAGCGTCCTGCAATCTAGAAGGAGAGATAACATATTGAATGAGGGCCTGTCCGATTAATGCCTCCAACCAGACGGCGCGAAGCCTATCAGTTCTACCCCACATACCTCTACCAACAGTGTCCGCACTCATTTGTCCCTGTCGTCTTCAAGGTCATGGCATTGCGGGGTTGGATGCACGATCCTTAGTCGGCGATTACAGCGACAAAGACTTTTGAGAAATCGCTACCAAATGAAAAGGATCATCAAATGGGTTCGAGTGTTTCTTCTATACATTAACAAAGGACCATATTTACAACAGGTTCCTTATAATAACTCATGGGTCAAAGTATTTGCCATGGCAGCCTATCATCTGTAGTACTTCTCCAACAAGATATAGGCTCGCTGCCAATTATTTCCATCCCTATAGAGCGTTTTTTCCTCAGAAGCCGGAGACATAAACCCCACGCCTATTCATCTCCGCCCCACGCTTATTTTTCGACTATCTACCAATCTCTGTAGTACACATTCTGCTCGCAGGGTGGGAATGATGTAGAAGTGGCGGAGACATCATTCTCCTCCCACACAGAAGTGCAAATCGCTTCACAAATACGTTTATTGGGGGTATGAGGTTCGCGGTCCCGGGTTTTCCTGTTAAAAACAATAACTTCGTCTGATCGACTTACTAATTCCGACTGTTTTCAACAAAGTTCTTTCTAAACACCACCAAGTGCTCCTATTTCCTATCGAAAGGGTAAATCTCAGCCGCAATTGTTTGATCTTCAGCAAGGAATTCACAATGAGGAGTTTTGACTGCAGTGTCCCACGTACACACACACACTGACGGATCTGTAGGTTGGTCGGCTACTCAGTCAGTCAATTGGCAACCAATCCGGAATGTATACTACATCTTCATACCTTACGGGAAGGATGTGAAAAAGAAATTAACGGTCTTTAAGCAACAAGAGTCTCTTGGCGTCATTCTTTACCGCATGTCACGAGCTCATTACTGAGCCACTGGGAGTGATCTCCACGACTTTTCCTTCCCTGTTGACAATGCTTAATGTGAAACATTTGTTTCCCCATCACTCACCTCAAGCAGCACTGAAAGTGCTTCGTCAGGTGTATGTTTTAGCGGTGCTTTCACGGGTGACACGCAATCTCTTTCCATTGGCAAGAATGGAAGGACTGACTGAACAAGGTGTATCCACACTTGGACAACCGATCATCACAATGGCATGAGACCATTCAACCAGTTATGGATGATGCGTTCTGCTACTGTATTCCACACCTTCTCCAAATGCTAAACAATGGGCGTTGAGAGGAGCTCCTGCAGTTTTGTGACTTTGTTGTGCTCAGGTCGTGGGGTCCACAACTTTCAATCACATCCATCGGGTTGAACCGATGTTTTTACGGTATGAGGTCAGAAAACAAAACAGGGTAGAAGAAGGGGGCACTGAAATGAGCACCGTACTAACAGACGCACACATATCGAATCTTTGTAAACCATGTATATAAACAATGACAGGCATTTTGGAAGTCATCACGGTGAGGTTGATCATTTTATCAATAAAAGACTGGTTTTTGCCGTGACAATGTTAACCCCATCAATAAATGACCCGACACTCGATGAGCAAGCATCTTCTTTGTCACAGCTTTCCTCCAAGATTTATGGGCAGTAATGCGACTTTGCAGATCCAACCATTCCTTTTAAAAAAATTCTCATGGCAGAAAAGAACAGATCACTTACTCCCAGAGAGGCAGTATCATCACTGGCCTGTGACACACTGACAGCAGTACCGTCGGTCACAGATGTGGAGGAAGAGGAGCGCGAAAGGGTTGCAAGGGGCCAGCAGGCTCTCTCATCTACCCACGACTCATCCACAATAGCGCAAGTCGAGAGACCACCAAGAAGCATTCCTACAATCAACACCATCACCAATAAGAACTCTTCCCCCCTCCCCCCCAAAAAAAAAATCATGGGTAAGAGATCCTCGTATCTGTCATATTCAATCAACGCACTGACCTGGAATGAGACTGACGAGGGTGAGGAGCCACGTGGACATGCAGCGGACGGCAGTCTCACAGGAGAAGAGGATTTTCCGTTCTAGCAGCAGAGTTTTTAGCAGAACTAGGGCCTCACGTTGATAGGCTCGCACAAAGGAGACTGCACTGAGACTCTGTAGTAATTCATCTTTTTGGGACAAAAAGAAGGGGGGAAAAGTTTACTTGGACAGGCCTCTATCCTACTTTTGAGCACCAAAGTCCATTGAAGAAGCGGAAGTGCGTAGCAGAGAAAGTTATTTAAGCAAATGGGGGATTCTTTCTTGACGCAGGTGCATTGATGAAAAAAGACGAGGCTTCATAAAAGAAATACACTGGGGAAAACCCCAAAGATGAAGTAAGCAATCACCGGGATCCCATCCAACATAATATTCTAGTTGTCAATGATGTTTGAAGCAAGAATGAAAAGAAATAAACTTCCATATATATCAAGTACTCGAAAAAAGACAGATATCTTTAAGCAAAGGAGACTAACAAGAACTTTTCCGTATATACTTCTCAAGAGGAGAAAATTTCCTCAACAAACAGACGCTTACTGACAACTTGGGGTAGAGAATTACTTTGGGCAACTTATAAGGACTTGTAAGGTCTAAGTACTACAATAAGTGGTAATAGCTGTGCCATTTTACCCCCCCTATGGCACTCCTTAGAGTGCCATCTGCGGTTTTTCCGTTTTTCTTG